TTTCCCTTGAGGGGCCAGGTCTCACCTTCGATCTCCTCTGGCCGCAGTGATCTGTCCTGAAATAAAAGAACGTATCCTATTAGCAGCTGTGAAGGGCCAGAGTCACAAAATGCCCAATCTAAGGGCCATGCAAATAGCAGCAGGCACTGAGGGGGAAGTGGACGGGGCAGGTGACAGGGCTGCAGCGGAAGCATGCCTAGACCATGTGCTTGAGGGGAAAAGGTGCAGCCCCACATCTCCCGTAGGCATGGGAGATGCTGGGGGCCTGAGAGCCCCACCCAGCCTGGGCACGGAACCTCTGTGTCCAGCCCCTTATTCCAGACACAACGATGTGTTGAGGAACAAAGCTGGTCCCGAAGCAAAAACCTGTAAATGAAGCAGGGTCAGCGGGAGGTTACACCAGAGAAGAGGCCTGCAAGGCAATGGGAAAAGAGAGGGGCTGCAGGGGAGAGAAAGCAGGGCTCAGACAGGCAGCCCGAGGGTGACGGAGAGGAAGAGGAGGACCCCAGGGTGTGAAGGCAGGATTAGGGCTGTGCCCTGCTTCCTGGGCACTGCCCTACCTTTGCCAATTTGACCCCCATCCTACACTTTGCCCTGTCATGAGACACAGCATAGGACCCTGGGAGCCGCCAGTGCCTGTGGTGGCTGCCAGGATCCAAAGCACACATCTAAAGCCTCAAGCAGTACCCAGGTCTCCTTGGAGAATCAAGGAAACCCTGGGTCTAGATGTCACAACAGATGGCAGAAAAGTCTCTAGAGAGCAGGCCCAGAGGACACCTGTGGATGAGGGGCCGGTTGCCCTGGGTCTGCCCAGGAGGGACACAAACTGGCACGAAATGGATGAGCTGCCCAGCTGGACCTGCTTAGTAAGCTCCCAAACTGGTCCACGGGACTTCTCCTCCCCAAATGACACAGCTCTCTGCCTTCAGACAGGAAGAATGCAGGCAGGCGTACTGGCCCTGAGGAAGCGCACACCAGGTGTGGGCACACCTGTCATGAACATAGACATGTGGGTGTGCCACAGTGAGCGTGAGGCATCTCAGCTGTGCACACAGGCTGTTCTAGCCAACAGGGCCAGGGTGCGTAGAGACAGCTGCTGCCCACCCACTCCAAATTGGTCCCAGGGCAAAGAACTCTGGCTCCGGAAAATCTGAGAATCTTCTAAAAAGGGGCTATTAAGCAACATCTTTGAGACAACCAGGTGCACAGGACCTGGTGCTCAGAGTGGCTATTTGTGGCAGGATAGTGTTGAGAGTGTAGGTATGCTTGGAATGAGAAGGCCACGAGCTAGCAGGTCCTGCAGGTGGCATTTCTAGCTGAGGGCAGGAATCACGGAAGGTATATACGTCTCTGTGAGATGACTGTACAGACTTCCACTTAAAAATCCTGTCATGGTGCATAGTGCAAATGTTGTCAGTCCTGTTCCTAGTCAGCCTTGGATCTTGGGTGACCGAAAAGGATGTTTTTTGCAATGCCTATAACTCCCAGTAAGTGAAAATGAGCGAGTAGGCAAGGATATGTGCATACACACATGCAGAGCGCACTTATGAGGACAAGGTACTCAGACATAACGAGTCTTTTCCACCCTTCAGGCTCAAGCAGCCCCCGCTTCTCCAGAACCCAGCTCTGCAGGACTGGAGAGAAATGGGGTGCTGCTGACCCTCACTACAGCCCCCTCTATACATCTTGCATAGCTAGAATCACAGAGCAGGAAAGCCAGCTACCCCTTTGTAATGTGCCTGTGGCTGGAGCTAGTTTATCTGTGTCCTGATGGCTGGCCCTTGGGTCACACACTCTTCTGTGCAGAGGCACGGGTATGTGTGTGGTGCTCTGAGTAGAACTGGGAACGTTCACTGATGTTGCAGGGAAACCATGAGCACCAACTCGGGGTATAGGGCTTGGGTGGGAATGGAGCACACGCACATCCTTTCTCCCCAGTGTATGTGGTTAGTGAGAAGAGTCTGGCCTCTGCAGTCAGACGGACTCGACTGCAAAGCCCAGATTTACTACTTCTTAGCTGTGAGCCCTCGAAAGGTCACTTCTGTGATCCACAGTTTTCTCATCTGTAAAATGGATTAATACCAGGACCCACCTGGTATTAAATACAGGGCCTTTGTGAACATTCCATGAGGCAAGATATGTAAAGTGTTTAGCATGTGGCAGTCCATAAATGGAACCTACAAATGTTTGTATCTGTAACACCGCCACCGTTCCCCTCCTCCCTGTGGCCTTTCAGATACCCGTAGGAGGCTGTCCAATACAGTAGCCATATGTGGTTATTTCAATTTGAATAGGAATTAAATAGAATTAATAATTCAGATTCTCAGTTGCACTAGCCACATGACAAGTGCTCTATAGCCACATGTGGCTAGTAGCTACTGTATTGGACAGTGCAGATTACAAAATGTTTCTATCATTGCAGAAAGTTCTACTGGATGGTGCTGTGTGTACTCAGTACAGTCACTGAGAGCACAGGAGGCCCCTGAGTCATACTTCCTGAGTCTGAATCCTGCCCCTGTCACCCAGTAGCTGTTACCTTGAGCGGGTTACTTCTCCAACTCAGATTCCTCATCTGTAAAATGGGGATAATAGGACCTACCTCTTAGAGTTGCTCTAAGTCTTAAATGAGGCAATGCACTAAAGAACTTAGCACAGTGCCAGGCACATAGTAAGTGCTCAAAAAAAAAAAAATCAATAAAAACCCAAAGCGATGTCAACTGCTGTTATTTCTTGCTGGTGGAGGTGAACTCACCAGTGCTTTGTAGCCATGAGTGGGAAGCTTTGTGGGTCAGATTCGCAGCTGAGGGTTTGAGGTGTATCTGCTGGGGGACACGTACTGCTGTGTTCAGAGCCCCTGTTCTTTCCAGCAAATCCTCACGCCCTGTGAAGCTAAGCTGAGCCTGGCTCCACTAGGGCCAACTTACGTACAGGCTGCCTGTTCTCAGCAAAGCCCTTGCGCAGGAAAATGCAGGCGGGGCCCAGCAGGTTGTGCATGATGGCACAGTTCTGGGCCAGCGTCAGGAGCGGTCCGGGGAGCTCGCCGCTGGATGCCAGCCCCTCCTCGCTCGTCTGCACCACCCTGTAGCTGGTCTTCTCGTCTTGGCGCATCTTCAGCCAGCACCAAGCAAATACAAAAGAGAGGCAGGCGTCATCTCCTTGCCCAATGAGCCCTCCTGGCCCCAGCCTGGCTCTTGGTCCCAGCCTGGCTCTTGGTCCTAGAAAGGGATCTCCTCAAGAGAGACCCTTGAGAGTCTAACAGCAGGGTTCCGAGATCCCTTGGGATGCACAAGAGTGGGCATCAAATTTGTCCAATGGATGCAGTCTCCGATCTTTGACTGAAACAGATGCTCTAGGGACAGCTGGGTGTGGTACCCACTGTGCGGCACATATGCATGTGCACACACACACACACAAAAGTGCACAGAATCACACACTCACATGCATCCAGAAGCTCAGAGAGAGAAGCAGGTAGCATGAGGCGTCTGTTCCAACCAATGGGAAGTTTTCATTCAAAGACTAATGGAATAACATCCTTTTCCAAGATTGTCCCAACGTCCCAGCACAATCCTGGGCCTAAGCTCCCATACTGACCTCTGACCCTATCCCCATTGGATCCCCACTGAAAGGCAGTGAGGATGATCAGAGAGGGAAACATGGAGAGCAGGCTTGGCTAGTCTTCTAGACTGGAGGTTGCAAACACAGGGGCCATAACTAAATAAATGAAGCAGGCAGGTGTGAGAGGCAGGGACTGGGGCTAAACGGATGCTGTGCGGCCCCTCTGAAGGAGCAGCACTACCTAACTCCAGTCCAACATTGCTAGGCCTTCCGTGTGGGCGAAACAAAGGATGTCTGTGGGTCGGATCCCACCCAGTTTGCGGCCTTAAGACTAGACACTCTGCCACCAGCAATTCTCCCTTTTCCCCTCCTGCTTTCTCTGGCTCCCTGCCCGGCCCAGCCCGCTGACCTCTGGAGGCTGGGGCAGGGACCTTCTCTGCTTACCGAATATAGCTGTGCTCCCTGGCCAACCCAACCTCCTCCCTGACGGTTCCCATGGAGCTATAAAAAGTCAGCACTGCCCACAGACCGTCCCCCTTCGGACAGCAGCAGTATCCAGACACAACATTCTATTCCACCCCGGGCTCCCCGGGGCGCCCAGAGCCCCCACAGTGTCCAGAGCTGCATATTCCACCCTTCCATCTTGTAGTACCTCTTCTTCCTGCTAGGTTCCTCTAGCTCAAAGAAGGTCACACCCAGGAGAAGATTCTAAGACCTAGGGGGCAGCCTGTCCTCCTGCGCTGAGAAGCAGAACCACCTGCCCGTCACACCTTGTCTTCTCACATGTCTTCTCCCCAAAGCTCCACACTGTGGGGCTACAGACTAGACTCCCCTCCAATTTCCTAAGCGTCTTCCAGGCCAATAGAGGGGGCAGCAGTATTCAGGTGCCTGGAAGGGGAAGCAGCAACTCAGACTCAAGGTGAAGAACCTCCGTCCAAGGCCCAAGTGTAATGAGTGTGATAGGGTCAGTCTTAGGCGAACTCAGAATTTGAGGGATGTCAGACCGACTAAGGGCCATTCTGATTTGATGCCAAATGAGGTTCAGAGCCTCGGCCACACTCACACAGGCTTCTGGGACATGGGCTAGAGTTGAGGGCAAAGCCAGAGAGACCTTCCTGACTGGAGGCTGGCTCTGAGGAAGCCTGGGAGCAGACAGTGGCTTAACCGCAGGAAACAATCTCAGGAGATGTTTGTAGAAAAGCAGTCTTTTAATTCCAGTGGACTCTCACACACTTGGTTCAGAGTGAGCACAACCCGGGAAGGAGGAGACAGCAGGCAGCATGGAGCTCTGAGAAGCGGTTTAGTATACTGGTTTTGGACTTACATGGTGTTGGGGACAAATTCTGGCTCTGCCACTTGCTTGTTATGTGACTTTGGACAGGTCACTTTACCTCTCTGTGCTCTAGTTTCTTTCTCTGTATAATGGGGATAATCATGGCGACTCACAGGATCCTTCTGAGAAATAAATGAGCTATTGCATAGTGCCTAGAGCATGGCAAGAGTCATATAAATGGAGTTGCCATGGTGATGACAATGACAGTGACAAGGATGATGACGATGATGGTGATAGTGATGCAACTTAAGAGACGCTGGGTGCCAGAAGGCATTTACTTCTGGCTCCAGAGGAAATGGGAGAATATTTGCCAATCAGGAGAGAAGTGAAAAGGATGGAGAAGAATTTTCTCCCACGAAAATGAGCTAGTGGTGGCTGGGGAATTTCCACTGCATCTCTTGATCATAATACTGCCTGGCACCAAGTTGCCCCGGGAAGCTGCTGTTCTTCCCCGGCCAGTGACAGCCTAGTCCTGCCCTGCTCAGAGCCTGGAGCAGGTCTCCTCTCACCATGACCAGTTCCCCAGCTACCACTCAGGAAGCCAAGTGGGCAGCCACCCACAGGCTGACAATGTCTCCTGGCACCGAGGGGACGTCTCCTGAGTGTGGCATGGCAACAGGATGTCCCAGGGTGCCCCACGACCTAACAGCTTTCTAACAACACAAGCTGGCCGAGTGGATGCAGGTCAAAGCTCCTCTCACTGAAAGATGTCCAAGGAGAAGTCAAATGAACACGCATTTGGTGAGGAGGGAGAGGGGACTGTCTCAGTCTGTGGGAATTTGGACCAGATGACGTGTAAGGTCAGATTCAGGAATCTATGAATAACGTTTCTGACAGCAGGAAGAAGAGAATGGCAAAAATAAAAATAAAATACCAGCTCTGGATTCACACAGACTAGGGTTTAAAATCCCAGCTCGGTGTCCAGTCGGCTGTGTGACCTTAGGAAAGCTCTTCTCTCTAAGTCTAGCTCCTTCCTCTATAAAATAGCTAAGAGAACTATTCAGCGGAAAAGAGAAAATGAGATAACAGAAGTTTGAGACATTGTAGACATTCAGGAAAGGGCGATTATTATTTTTATAAAAACATTACATTAAATGTGGTAAGTTAAGTTTTACCATCTTTAATCTTAGTCCATGATCTCGAAATCTCTATTTTCCTTTTTCCTCCATCCCCCTGCTCAGAAAACCCAGAGTGCAAAAATTGTGATTATGATGACAATACAACTAGCTAACCTTTGTTGAGCACTCTATTCCAGGCAGTGCGCACAACACTTTAGTTTTCACCATCGCCTCACTGTATAGTTCTCACAGTTATTTCCACTTGATGGACAAAAGAACTGAGGCCCAGAGAGGTCAAATAACTTGCCCAAGGTCACATGGCTGGAAATAGAGACTTGAGAAGTCTGATTCTTTAGCACTCTGCCATGTAAAGGAAGATGGGTGGGGTGGGACCAAAGAGCAATTAATTCTTGTTTTTAAATTCACCTCTTCAAGCTCTAGACAAAACCAGGGAAAGGGTTTCACTCTGTGCTCCTCTAAACTAATTCTGATCAGTTTCTGCCTCTCTGCAACAGCGGGGAGGCCACTTCTGGTGCAAAAGACTCCCCTAAGAAGATGACGGGTGATGAGGGAAGGGTGCACAGAAGAAACAGAACAACCCTCAGAACGATCCAAGGAATAGCAAAGATTAAAAGGAATTTGATGTGAGCAGCTTAGCTAAACGAGGAAGACAGCAGAAAAGCTCAAAATGTCCTAAATTGAGAGGCTCTCAAACTGACATAGGTGGTAGATGGGGTTGGGGGCAGAGGTGCCATTAATTAATCTGAGACCTTGGGTAAGTCAATTGATCTAAGTGGCAATTAAGTTCTTTATCTGGAAAAAGAAAGCACCACAGGAGAACATCACTATCATTCCTTCTTCCTTTAATAAAATCTATGAGTTTCTTCTACAGCCTGACTACAGAAGGCTAGGAATACAGGTAGAGCCCACTTGAAGCAAAACCCTCTAGATGCAAGTCCAGGCTTGCATGAGAGATGCATTAGAGGTGATTATTTGCTTTTCAAAAGAAATTCTTGCAAAAGGAGATGATCCTGGTATATAAGCAACAAATCCACTACAGAAAGTGACACCTTTGCTCAACATCCTATTTATTAATGGAAGCAATTCTGGTCCCTGAACCAGTGTGGTCCAAGTTGAGATTCTCTGACCTGACTTAAGAATTAGGGAGGGTAGAAGGGGGATACCCTGCTTGCCTCCTTTCAGTAGCCACAGGGTCCACTTCAAAATCCACCACTCTGAAGGCTTAGAGACCACCAGAGACCCTCGAAGGAGGTGAATGAGCCCTCAGCCCTACTGCTGAAGAGCCTTAGCAGCAACAGGGACAAAGCTCAGCTCAGCGCAACCCTCTTCTGATCCAGCTCTAAGGGGTGTCTGTCCACTCTGACATCCTAAGGAGCCATGCTTTTCATTTTACATCTCAGGAGTATGCAGTTCTTTCCTAAATCTTGTATGAATTCCCAAACACAGTCCTCCATGCGGCTCCAAGTCCCAATTTCAGCTCAGAGCCTGGGACACAGAAGGGAGGGAATCTGGAGGTAGGAAACAGGAAAGTAGCTCCAGGCAGAACCCACACCAACGATGGCAAGCTTCAGAAGCCCACCTTTTCCACGTTCAACCTCTGGGACAGATGGGAAGATGTCCCCAAACCCCTCCCCATGCCCCAGGTCTCAGAAACATACCTTCCTTGAGAGATTTCTCAGTGGAGACTTGACACAGTTGCCCATCCTAAGCTGAGGCAGCCCCTCTGAGGATCCCCAGGTCCATGAAGGAGGCTCCCGGGGGCTAAGAGACCTTAGTCCCTGTTACCGCCAACCTCAGCCTCTCTCTGCCCCGCGCTCTTCCTCCAGGACTAATCTGAGTCCTCTCTCTTGCGCGCGTGCTCTCTCACTCGTCTGCCTGCTCCTGCTGCTTTTTTTTTTTTTTTTTTTTGGGGGTTTGATTTGCAAAGTTTGGTGGATTGTGTGTGTGGGTTTAACTTTCTGGGCACTTTCTTAAGGAGATGAAGGCAGGAGGGGAGCATGCAGGGCACAGAGAAAATAGCCTGGAGAGCTGATGGCAGAGGGCAGCCAAGCTGGAAAAGGCTGCCGGATCATGTCCATCAGATTAGTGCTCAGTCCTCTCTGTCTCGGGCTCAGGCTCATTCCAGTTCCCTCAGTCCCTCCCTGCCCTCCCACCGGCTGCCAAATCTGCTAGGGAGATTGCCACAGGGCAGGGGGCCTAGAATGACAGCTGCAGCTGGGAATTAGGCCAGCAGACCCAGAAGGAGAATCGGGCCAGTTTGGGTACCCAAAGCCAGGGTGCCTCTCAGCTCCCAGCCTTGTGTGCGCGCGCGCACACACACACACACACACACACACACACACAGAGCACACAGGGACAAACACACATCCTAATTGCCCCCTGGCAAGCACAGCTGGAGTGAGAGCAAGCAGCTCCATTTGAGGGCCTGGGATATCTTGTGACGTCTCCATCACGCTCCATTTTTCACACTTGCCTGTCATTGAAATGGGATGAGGCTCCAGGGACTGGAAGGACAGCTGAGCCAACAGCAGTGAGCAGTTCCTTCTGCTTGCTCCCTTCACCAAGTGCTCTCTCCAACCCAAAGGAAACCAAGAGGGTCCTGAGGGGCCCATGATGGAGGCAATGCTGGCACAGACGGCGTGACTGAGGGCTACGAACCTTCTCCTAATCCTCTGCCTAATCCTCAGCGAGAATCTTTCGCCCGGCTTTCTTGGGGTGTAGAGCAGAGAGGCCGCCCTTTGCGAAGCGGTCTTCCAGGTCCCATGACTGGAACTTTGCAGGCGACTGGCTCTTCTTCGTCCCTCCAGGTTCCAGCTTTGATGTGAATTCATCGCAAGCCTCAAATGTCACATTTGAGACCTAGAGTCCCAGCCAGATGACCCCGGAGAGGAAGTGCCAGGTTCCTTGCGCCCAGCTTTTCCCAGCAGGGGGCACCAAAGATAGGTCAGGAAGCCGAACTCTTAGCCCCTGATGCAACAACCCTTACATGCATCGCATCCCTGAGTTTTCAGTCCAAAGAGGCTCCTCTTCCAAAACTTTTCGCCCACTTTTTGGGTGGCTGGTTAGAACTCCCATTAGAGAAGATGGGTGGAGGCGCTGCCTGGAAGGTGCCACAGGCTCGCTGCCAGGGAGCTGGGGAAGGAGGTCTCTGGAGAGCTCTTGACGACAGTGCTGCTGCTGACGACAACGGAACGGTTTAGTCTGGGGAGTTATTCAGTAACTTTGTTCCGGCCAAATCTCCAGAGGGGAATATGGAGAAGGGCACCCCCTTGGGACAGAGCGGGGAGACTGGGTGGTTGTTGCTGCCTAAAGGGCAGGAAAGGGGGTGAAGACACTGGGGAATTGGAATTGAAAGAGTGAGCAGCCAACTTAAGCGCCTTCTTCAAAGCCGTGTTCCTCAGAAACAGAGCATGAAGCAGCATCTCCAGGGGCTGGGGTGAGGGGTCAGAGGTCAGGGTCATGAGGAACAGCAATGGACTCAGATGAATGAGAAGTATCTGCAGGCCTGGGGTTGAGTCCTGGCTCTGCCAGCTTCTGACTTCTCACATTTCAGAGCTTCAGTTTCCTTGCGTGGAAAATGGGGCTTCCTCTCTCTTGCTTATAAAGCGTATGTGGGAAAGTGCATGGCACATAACGGGTACTCTATAAGTAATTATTAACATGGAAAAAAAGAAGTACCCTTTGTCCGGTGTTCATGTGCCAGGCACTATGCCTGGCTCTAGAAATGCTGTGGGCAACAGGATAAACACGGTCGCTTCTTTCAGGGAGCTTACATCCTAGCAGCTGGGCAAGAGAGATTAAAGAGCAGGGAATACACATTTAATTATGTTTCAGGTAAATGCTATGAAGGGGAAACACAAAAACTCTGAGAACTCTGAGGCAGAGGAATCTGGCTTATTCCAGGGGCATCGGGAAAGACTTGTAGACCGAAGCTAGAAAACTGACCATTTGTAGACTCTTTTGAAAAGCCAGGGTTCACCAGGGACCTCACTGGAGGAGAGATGGGTTTGGCTTCAGATACAAACCTAATTCATATCGACTACACAAGTAGATACATAAAAAGGCAGCACAGTATAAAGCAGAGATTCTCAATGCTAGCTGCAGATAAGACTCACTGGGGAGCTTCCCCAGAGATTCTGACTTATTGGATATGGGTGGGCTCTGGACATTGGTGATGTTGAGTACTCCGGGAGACTCTAACCTGCAGCCAGTGCGGAGAACCACTGACACAGAGGCTAAGAGCTTGGAATGCAGTCAGACAGACTTGGGTTCAAATCTTACCCTGCTGCCTAGCATCTATGTGACCTTTAGGACATGTTCATTTTTCTGAGCCTCAGTTTCTTTCTTTATAAAATGGGTCCTCTAATAACCCTTTCCTCAATAAAGGCTCTTGTGAGCAGTTAATGAGATAATCCACACAAAGGGTTTGGCACAGTGCCAGGCACCTTCTAGGTCTTAAAGGGTGGGGTATGGTCTCCCTTCTCACAGCAGGGCATCCACTCAGACCTGGTGACTCCTGCCCCCTGCAGGCCATCCCAGAACACAGCACCCACTTGTCAACCTTGGGATATGCCTCTGTCCTTGGAAACAGAAGACAGCAAAACCAGGCCCCTATGGAAAAGTCACGCACTTTGAAGAAACCTCATCCTTTTTCAAGGAGGCTTGAGGCTTAAGGGCAGCAAGAGATTCAGGGATTCAAACCCAGAGCTTGCTTTAGCTATTTTGGACTTGGCAGGTCCCCAGGAGCTGGTGGTCCTAAGGGACAGGGGTAACTGGTGATCTGGAAGTGACAGTTGGCAGAAAATTTTTAAAAGGGCTGAATGGTGGGGGCTTCTCGAAGGAGCAAAGCACATCGCACAGTCCTACCTCCCCATCCCTACTCACTGTGGCAGCAGCCCCGGCCACCCGCTCCCCGCAAGCCACACTTTGAGCACTGGAATGGAATAATAGGATCAGAGGGATGAGAAGGATAAACCCATTGCTGATTATTCCTGATTAGGAAGGAGGCTGCCTTCAGTGGCCCTGATCGGTTCTACCACCAGCATTTGAACTTGGATGGCAGCCCAGGGCTAAGACGCTCAGGGAAAGCTAGGTCATAACCTGAGAAGTGCTTTAAGGATGCTTCTGACAAATAGGAAACATACTAAAGTGACTTCCAAACCAGCATGGTGTGGCACAGGCAGGTTGTTCAGAGATAGGCAGACCACATCACAGTCTTCTGTGACCTTTGGACAAACCACTTCCCCTCTCTTGAACCTGTTTCCTCATCTCTAAAATGGAGGAAGGTAGCATTACCTTCCTCCATTTTAGAGATAATGAAATATCTTCTCATTATCTTATCTGCACAGCAACCTGTGCAGATAAGATAATGAGAAGATATTTTCTCAGTTGTTTAGTGGGCTCTAGACTGAGGTCTCCAATATCCTTGTTGCTTCCCTAAAACAGCCAGAGGCAAACACAGATATCCCAAGGGACTTCCCATGATGGATGTTAACCACAGACTGACCTTCTCCTTCCCCTTCCCCAGGCCCCAGAGGAAAGGCAATAGGGGCTCCCAGCCCTTTCTGCAAGCTGTAGGGAGACACTCGTAGGGAGACACTTGGTGGGGCAAGAGTGAGTACTATACACAGCCCTCATCCTAGGAACATAGGTCCAGTGTGATTGAATCTGTTAGGAGCCAAACCCTCATGCTCTCTCTCTCCTATCTAAACTATAGGAGCTAAGAAAGCCCTGCAGTCCAGAGGCTGGAGATACAAGTCATTTATTCATTGACTCATTCATTAGTATATAGGATCATAGTGATCCTACTATGTGCAAAGCAGTTTGGGAATTGGAATAGCCTACCCAAATCAAAAGAGATGTCTCTAAAGCTAGAAAAAAAAAAGAATGGGGCAGAGCTGTCAGTTTAATTCACATTTGCCTCCTCTACAAGAGTGTTTCTTCCTAAACGTAGGGCAAGGAGCAGAAAGACTGTTTATAAAATAGTTTTCCAAGACCCAATGCCAAGAATTGTCCCAAGTCATGCCTATTTGGAATTAATTTCTGATAGCACATCTTCTCTCTAGGCAGCTGGGTGGTATGTCCATAGCTGGCCACCAAGAGAGTACTAGGGAAGGTCCTTTGTCATTCAGCTCCTTCCTTTAATGGCCTTCCTCGTTTGGCTCAGAGACAGCTTTCCAAGTACCTTACACAGGCCCTCATTCAGACAATTATTATATTAAGAACATTAATGAAGGTTGCCCTTTTTCCAGCACCCACTCTGAACTAGATCATTGCATATCCTTAATCTCGTATAACCCTCATAATAACTCTGCAAGGTAGTTTTTGTCACTCTTATTTCTTGGATGAGGAAACTCAGACCAGAGAGAGAAAATAAGAGGCCCAAGGTCACAGCAATAGGCAATGACAGAGCTGAGACTGGAACCTGCAGCTCCACTGTCTCCTAAGCCACTGTTCCATGCCTTAGCATTAAAACCACACTGTCTTCCTGCAAGCAGTAAGGATGCTCTGTCACTAAAAGAATCCTAATTCCTGTTTCCCCTAATGCATGAGTGTATTTTTGGTACCTTCAGTGTCACTTTGAACCCTGGTTCTCCCTGATTCTACTACAAATGGCAGGAAGAAGGCCTGACATAGCCTTGGCAGTTAATCAATAACAACAACAACAACAACAATAATAATAATAACTAACATTGATAGAGCCTTTGCTCTGGGCCACACACTGAGCCAAGCTCTGTACATATCTCCATATCCCATTTAATCTCCCCAAAACCAACTGGGGTCCTATGATTATCCCTATTTTGCAGATATAGAAACAGGCTGAATGAGG